TGATTGCTGTAATTGCTACTGCAGCACTAGTGAGAACACAGTGCTATCTTGGGCACAGGCTACCTGGGCAATGTGCAGACCATCGTGGATGTGCTTGGTTTTGACTTTGATGTTGATTCACTTTGGAATTGCGTGAGGATTATTGTATGGATAGCCTGTTTATTCAAGTATGCATTTTTTTTTTTAATAGTTCAGAAGATGCAAATATTTTTTGCAGTGGTTCAGGTATAAAGAGCTTTATGTTCATGTGAGTTTGTTCTGATGTCTGTCTTTTAAGCATAATAATTTTTTTGGTAGTGTGACCAGAAATGAAATTTATACCAGAAAAAGTTCTGTATATGAGATAATTAAACTGAGAAACTGAAGCAACACTTGCCAGAAATTTGTCACTGAAGAATTGGGCTTACTGGAATTGAGAAGACTCTTACTTATCTTTGTTCATTATAGAAGATTAAGAATTGGGATTTGCTGGATAGTTATTAGTTCGACCTCTTGTTTATATTTCAAGTCACTAATTTCAGGTATCTTTACATTAAGCCTAGATTTTGGGCTAGAACAAAACTGTATCTCAGCAAGTATCTCTTTAGTAGAGAGGAGTAGCAGAGAATATACTGAGGAACGCCTTCAGTCAAAGCAGACAGTTCATGCCTTGGAAGAACAAACACATAACAAGCAAACAAGGAGCCCTATAGGGAAAATTGATTCTTGAGTTTGAAAAAGACGGCTCCTTTACTGTCCAAGTGAGCGATGCAGAAACAGCATGTTTGTAAAGGGGATTTTCTGTATCATCTTGGAGCACTTCTTTATTCCACTGTGGCCTGTCTCGGGTATGGCCACTGCCTGATGCTGCAAGTATTAGAAGCACGATCTTGAATTCTGCTCTCTCTGGTGTCTCAGTGAGCGGAAGATAGCAAGGCCAACAGGCTGCCATGATTATTCAGATGATTCTTCCCTTGGCTTCCACAGACTAAGGAATTTCTTTTTAATTGTGATTCTGAAAACTACAGTTTTATCCATTTAAATTTAAGCAGACTGCTGTGAGTTCTTTGACTAGGGTGTTCTTATTTCAAAATCAAATCTAGGATTTCAGCCCCCAAAATTTTTGTCGGCAAGTTCTGAGAGTCTTCAATTTTAATTTCTTTTTCTTTTTTTTTTTCAATTCTTGCTTCTTACATTCTCCTTAGCTTTTGTTTGCCGAGTAAGTTGTTTCCTGAACTCACATAGCTGTTCTGTCATTTATATGATCCTTTTACAAATACTCTGGTATGCTGATGTTCTTGAAGCACAGACAACAGAACTGGATGTGGTATTTTGCTAGCTGAGGGCTTGTTTCAAGTCAAAAGCTGCAACTTGGGCTGTTCTGTTTTAAAATACTGTTACATGCATACTTGTGTAATTTGGTATTAAACTTGTGTTACTAAATCAACTATGGAAGCGTCCTCATTTAGACACAGTATGTTTGAGTACAGGATTTCTACTAGATTGTAGTGTGTGAATGATGTGTTCCCATTCTGATGAAAGTTCTTGCATACATCCCATGGCTACTGGTTCACTGGATCGCTTGTTTACTTTAGTAATCACTTTGCACCCAAGGTTTTTAAGGTCCTGTTAATTTACAGGTCATTTAAAAAAAAAGCCTCAGATGAAATCAGATTGGCCTTCTTACTAGGCTTCCTGTCATTTGTGCAGTTGAATCTCTTAGAGCTGTGCCTGTAATACAGAGCATGTTTATGCTATACGGTGAGTTGTGTTGGAGATACAGCCTGTACTGACCCCTGTTGATAAATCCGCGTGCCTCTGGCTACTTGGAGATGTTAGCTGAGGTCTTGAAAGCAGCACAGCTGTGTTTGTGTTGCACCTATGGTAAGTCTTGCCTCTGTGAGATTTGCAGGTGTGAGCAGTGCCATGATAACTTGCTGTATGATTTCTGGTTCTAGAGCTAGTATGGGGTTTTGTTTCAGTAGCAGTCCTTATACACTCTTCTCTTTCCCAGGAGACTCTATACAAAAGAAAAACCCTCAGAAACCACTAGCTATCTCTGTTTATGAAATGGAAGAAATAAGCATTGCTAATAATTACAAACTTATGGTTACTGTCACACTAATTACCTTCTACCTTAATGTTGGGTGTGTTTTGTGTTGTTTTTCTTTTTCCCCCCACGGGATCTTCCTTACTGTTCAGAACCAGACCTAAAATGCGCTGTTTCCCTAGGGATGTCACCTGGTTTTGGGGTAGGGGAGGCTGTCACCTACACCCTTCAAGAATTTGGTAGGAAATTCCATTCTGCTGCTTCATAGGCATCCAGCTAAAACCTTTGGTCTTCCTTTAAAGTCTGTTAAGAACAGCTTCATCTGTTTCCTGTTTTGGTGGCTAGAGCACCTAAGGACAATTTATCATGACATCATCCTCTGCCTTAAATGTGTCGTAGTTGTATGTATATATACCTCTGTATGTGTTGGTAAAGTATATATGTAAATACAGAGAGACAGCAAGACTTCTGTTCTCTCTCCTCTACTCCAAAGCCACTTCTTCCACAGCTGAGTGTTTCACCTGAAACACTTCAGATTAATCTTGAAATTGATTTCAGTCAGGCTGAAATGGTTAGGTTTCTTAATGTGAAGTAGTTCGAATTTTGGCTAATGAAACTTTGTATTTGACTTCAGTGTGAAAACATGGCTGTCCTCTAGACCGTCTTAATACCAGTCATTTGCTTTTTGTTCTTCACTTTCCAAGAACTGAGTTGTACACGTAATTGTTCTTAGACAACCAAAGGATTGGGAAAATGGAACTTTTGGCACAACTATAATAACAAATGCTCACCAGTACCTCTGTATCAAATGTCTTTTTGAATATGAAACAATTTTTGTGTTTTGATGCACATACTTTCTTGCAGACTTACAGGGCTTGTTTATGATAAGTAATTTAGTAAAATTTGGCAGCTGTTGTGTCTGGTGTTGAATCCAATTTACGTACAGCCTACAAACTGATAGGAGTTCTACTGACTGGGTAACTCATGAACTAAGTTAAGTTGCTTTGAACTTTGTAGGGTAAACCCGCATGCTAAACCTTTCCTGTGTTTGTCAATCAAGATTGTAGTTGTGCATTGGTCATTGAAATAAACCATTCAAGAAGTGGTCTTTCAGCCTCTGCTTCCTTCAGCTTCTAGATCAAAGGGGAGTGTGTGTCTTCTAGTCAGTGCCTTGCAGCTGGTAAGGCAAAGATTTGAGGACTGATAAGGTTTATAAGTAGTGCCTCATAATTGTTCTAATACCGCTGTATCATTTTTGAAATGAAATTAGCTTGGATCCATTCAGCTGAAAGCACAGATGCAGCAAGTATTTGTTTGCTTTTATCTCTGTGTGGACGTATTCCAGTCAAACTAGAAGAGTAATGGTGATCACCAGCAAAAGGAGCAAATGATTGATATCTTTACACTTAGCAAAATGAAGAAGCAGCCATCCATAGCAACTTAGCACTCTTGTCTGCATTTTTATTTTTTTTAAATTGTTGATAGAGCTCTGTGCTCTCAGGGGTACTATTGTTGCTTTCTTTGATTTAGCGTAGCTTCACCTCAGTACGTTACCCTTGGATGTGTGTGATCCCAGTAGAGATCAGGATGCTGGAAACCTTGCTTTTTGCTGTGGGATAATGTAGTTACATATCTCTCTCTCTCATCATAGTCTGTTATCATGAGAAGAACTAAATGCATCTTGGATAAATTCTATACCTGTTTATGATTCAGGCTAAAACACTGGCTGAAGGTTTGTGATTGGAAATTTGGAGACTGAGCAGCAATAAATTAAAAAGAATGCAGGTCTGGTGCTTTTGCGGTGCCATCAGGGACTGGCTTCTCTGCTCAGGTAAAATGTAGAAACAGATGTAAACATAAAAGCTGGCTATTTAGGAAAGGTATGTAGTAGTCAAAAGTGCTGTTATACAATATTGCTTGCTGTCCTGCTTTTATTTCAGGCAAAAGAGAATATGATCTTAGAATTCCTTGTGTACTGAAACTCTCTTTTTTTCAGCCTGCCCTACTCATAGAAAGTGTCACGTCGCTGCAGTGTGAATGAACATCAAAGGCAAATTCTCATCTGATGACGTGTTAGTTCTGAAATAAGATGCTTGAGAGGGAAACTGCTACGCTGAAGTAGACTTCACAGTCTTGAAATGTTTGACATAATGAACTAAAATTATAAGTGAAGAGCAGTCTTTACAGGCCTGAAATATTTTGTCACAGGCATATGTTTGTCAAAATTTTATGAAACTTTATTTCAATTGATTCATTGGGTTTTTTTACTGCAGACATTAAAGAATTTTTGACCAATTTTTCCGGTGTGTGAAAACTCTTCCAAAGCATCATGTTTGAAAATGGATTTGAGAATATTGCTTTTGTAAATGCTTAGTGCCATCACTGTGGTGGTATTGGTAGTCTGTAGCAGAACAGTTTTGGTGTTACTGCACTAGTTAACCTTTATATACACTGCGTACAATAGATACTCTAAAGCAGTATCTTTAAGGCCAATTTTCTTTTTCAACTAATGTGAAATACGACTTTTATAAACTTACGTGGGGTCAGTGTTTAAATGCAACTTGTGTGTATGCACTTGTCTAGCTGAATTTGTTTATATGGTCAAACTATAAACTGAAATACAAGAACAAATACCTGCCACTAGAATTATGTTGGTGATAGATGTGGCTGTGGGTGTATACTCCAGGGGCTTTGGTTTGTGTCAGTGGAAACCACCTCCCACTATCACCAAAATCATATGCTAGAAGGGTTTTTTGCCAAGCGCTCTTCCAAAGTACCTTCCCTAAGCTGACAAAAGCAGTTTTGTCATCATATTTTTATTGGTGATCTGGTGTGGGTGTCTATTCTGTGCAAGCAAAACCATGTCTGAAACTTAGACATACGGTGTATTCTGCTAGCGTGTAAAAGATTAAATGCTGGGTTTTTTCATACTCAACATGTAGCATATGGAACATAACTTTTTGTTTTTCTGTTCTTTTCCAGTTTAGGTCTAATATCGGATTCTTTTCATATGTTTTTTGACTGTACTGCTCTATTGGCTGGATTAGCAGCTTCAGTTATTTCAAAATGGAGGTCAAACGATGCTTTCTCATATGGGTAAGAAACTTCAGGCTGTTACCCTAATGTATTTTAGTAGATGTCTAGGTGGTAATTTTTCACTGTATGAACAAAACCTTTTTTTGCAGAACATGGAAAAGCTATGTTGAAAGTGTGTTTTTATAAGGTGAGTTATATAAACCTTTAAGTTAATATCCCCTCTAGAAATAGTAAAAATGTGAAGGCATTGCTTTTGGGGAGCAGGTTTATCACTTCTAAGATCTCTGCGATCATACCAGTGGAAACAAGTTACACAGCAGAAAGTTGCCCTGCATTGTTACGTGTTCATGGCACCAGTGAAGAGCAGCCGCATCGTGGGTTTGTCCTCACAGCGCTAGGTGCGTTACAGGGAATCTCAGGCTGCCGGTGCCCCATGTCTTCTTTGGAACAGAAAGTTACAACTGAAAGGAGCTAAGGCTCGGTGATGCTACACCTGAGACTACAAACCATGCCTCTCAGAACCAGCAGGATTCAACAGCTGTGGCTACCATTAACGCAGATCCTCAAGGCTGAGGTATGTCATCCCATACCGCCCTTCATGGATATAGCTGCAGCAGCTGGTTCTGTTTGAAGGTCACTTGGTTCCATTGCACATTGCTGTTGTGCCCTATAAAACAATACTGGTGATACAATACTAGTAATTGGTGATACTGATTAATTAACAGTAAATGAGCTGTAACGTGGGTGGCTGCATTCCCCATAGCATTACTGACCTCAGTGTCAGCATTTAGCTTCGGCTGTCTTGCCTCCGCATGGATCATACAGTTTGAAACTCTTAAAGCACTGTTTAATTAAGGTGGAAACTCCAGTGTGCCTAGAAATCAATTTAGGAAGAATTGATTTTACCATGAACTAATTGCAGTGAAAGCAGGTTCTGTATTAATTACTGCTCTGCATTTAAACAGCTGGTGTTCCATTTATTAGAGAATAGCCACAATTTATTAAGTCTGATGCTTGCTACATTGGAATTATGTGTTATTCTAACCTGGCTGTTTTTTATTGGAAAAATTTAGTAGCCAAAATAATTAATTTCTACTTAAAACTTTTACTAAAAATTTCCCTACTAGAGGGGGAGCAAATTAATGTCTGGCTCTTTGATATTAAACAGAACTTTACATCAGCAGACTTCGATTACATCTCGTGTGCTTATCTTACTTTGTGGCTTCCAAATATATGTTTATACCATAACTTCCTGTAGAGATGATCTTAAATGTGAAGATTTTGATGTATTGAAAGTTTTCTTTCATCTAGATCAGGTAACGGCTGATCTGGATCAGGTAATTTCTGTTAAAATGCAACATAGTGAATTTCATATCCTTATCTGTAGTTTATATACTGCATCTTCCATTTAGCAAATCCCTGTGTAATACAACTGATTGGGAAGTAGAAGATTGTACTCCAGTCTCTACGTTCCAGTTTTAATTTTCAGCATTTAAATGGAGGTGGTAATATCTGCTGTTGCTTTTTTGTTTCTTGCAGGTACGTTCGAGCAGAAGTACTTGCTGGTTTTGTAAATGGCTTATTCCTCATCTTTACAGCATTCTTCATTTTTTCTGAAGGTGTTGAGGTATGTTACGAAGTCAATTGCACTATCAATTGTCACATTTCTATTTGTAGAGCGTATTTCATGCGGATAAAATTATTGAAATTGATTACGTTCATAATCGGTTAAAAATCTGTGATTTGAACAGAGAATACAGCCATCTGAAATTGCTGTTTTGTGACACAGAAACCCAGCTTTTTCAGTGTTTCTCTACTAGCTCCTTAAATAGTGTATTTTAATTGCGTGTAAAGATTCTGTGAGATTTACCCTGTCCTTTTTTCAGCCAGTTAAGTATGTCATAGAAAGATCTTTACTTCTCATTGTTAAAGGACAAACGAGTCCAAGAAAGAAAGGCCAAAACTAGTCATGCAGAGGAGAGAAGTTAGTCATAAGAAATGGAAATAGTCTGTGAAGAAGTTGGACTAACTCATTAAAGAAAGAGCATTATCTTGTAAATCTTTAAGTCTGATATAAATGGCAAGTAGTAATAGCTTTAACATTTACAAGGGCACTTTTCTTGAACTTTTTTTTACAAGATGGTTCAGTTTATAATTTCAAGATGAAAATTTAGACATCAAGGGTGTCTGCACTGAAGTGAGGCATGATTAAGAGTAAAATTGATAACTGATTGTGATCAGCTTGCATTAATGCTTTTAATTTTAATGGGAGATTCACTATACATTTGTTTAGACTTCTAGTTCAGAACACATTCTACTGGGTTTTTTTAATTAATAGAGAACTGGTGAAAGCTTTCATCCTCTACATAGATAAGCCTGTAAATACTTCAAAATCAGTACAAACTGGGCTGAAATTGCCTAAAAGCTTGGGAAAACTTCACACCAAATCTAGAAACAGCAACAAAACTTAACTAGAAAAATTAAAAACTACTACTGGAATGGTCAAGGGTAGTGTTGAAATATCATTCCTTTCCTGCTGGTCTGAGCTCCCATGTGAAGTATTGCCTTTGCTTGTGATGGTGACTCCTGTTCTCTCTGTCACTTCAAAAGTTCATATCTGCTGAAAGTTTCATTGTCTTGCTCTTGCCTGTACCTTTCGTCCTTGTGGACAGATGATGAATGTTTCTCTCCCCTGTCAATAGTAATTTACACTCTTCAACACTTAGCTTCAAATGCAAATTGTGTTAGGTCTATAATGTCTCACTGAAAAAACCTTGCAAAGAAAGCAGGGCAAAAAAGAATTAAAAAAAAAATCAATCTAGATTTTAGAAGTTTTGTAAAATGCCACAATTAGGTCTCAGTCTTCATTTAATTCCCCTCATGCCCTCACCCTTCTAAGGAGAAAGGAAGAAATGGCATTCTAGACTACTGGAAGTTGTTTGGATGACTTGGGCAATGCACCTATTACAAGAAACTTCAGTGTTTTCATGTGGTGGTGAGCCACATTCCACAGCATGATGAAATCTTATAATAAAAGTTAGCTAGCCTATCAGAATATTCTGCTGTGCTTTCACAGCTTTAATACTATAAAACTTCAACTTCAGACAGTAAGAATTAGTCTGTGTACCATCCCAAAAACTGAAAGTCCCGAGTAATTTCTAATTATGTCTTTATATATGCCTGTTTGCATGAGAATGCTCCTGTATCTAAGCAGTTTTTTCAGTGTCTTTTAGTAATGTAAAGAGATTGTAAAACTCTACATTTTCTTCTTGGTTTGGTGTTTTTTGGTGTTTTTTTAGAGAGCACTTGAGCCTCCTGACGTGCATCATGAGAGACTTCTTCCTGTGTCTATACTAGGATTCATTGTAAATCTTATAGGAATATTTGTTTTCCAACATGGAGGTCATGGGCATTCACATGGCTCTGGTAGGATGTCTGTAATTTTCAGTACTGTTTCCTTTCTTGACACCCTGTGTTCCAGGACCTTATAATCCTCCAATGAGAACCCCAGGATTAAATTTTAATGTCTTTTTAGTGGCAATCCTAGCCAAATGTATATGTGACTTGTTGCAATATTGACTTTTATGTTTTATCACTAGCCCTAGTATGTCACTACTGTACTTCTCATGTTAATATCCATTAACTGGAAGACCTAGAACTCCAGAATCTGCTTTCTGGAACATGCACTCTTCTGCACCTTACTGGAAGAGATTTGCAGAGTATCTTTTGAACAAAATTAAACTGGAATTAAGTGAGGTCTTGGCTGGAAAATTTACACAGCAGTGTCTGAACCAGATTTTAAGTATGGGATGATTCAGCTTCAGGTGCTTCTCAACTTAGTGTCTTTTGAATTTAAATGCAGAATTTATTTGCCTAAATATATATGGTAACATTTTGGTGGGGGTTTTTTGTTTGTTTTTGTTTGTTTGTTTGCAATGTCAATTGGTATCTCTTTCAGCTTAACATATAAACTGATATAGACTGGTGGAAGAAAATAGTCTTTGGTCTTTAAGCAGCAATTCAAGCTTGAATTTTTAATGTATGAATGATAGCCAATTTCTGGTTTCTTAAAACAGCTTTTTTAATGTGCTTTTATCTAATTGTGTGCATTTTTCAAATTGTGCTAAAAGTGTAGCACGATTTGTCTCAGAAGTGGGAATGTATAAAAGCGCTTGACTTCTTAAACCAGGTATATATTTTATATGGCTGCACAGCACAGATTTAGATGACAAACAGCTTGTGTTAATTTTCTTATTTAAAGCCATACCTTAAGATGACCTGAAAGATGAATAGGTTTTGAGTAGCTTAGAAATAAATGTAAGCATACTTTTGTTCAACACTTAAATTTACACTCTGATGGTGATACTTGTTTATAGGACATGAACACAGCCATTCTCTATTTAATGGTGGTCTCAGCCATGGACACAGTCATGGAGGTCATGGTCACAGCCATGAACATAAACATGGCCATGGACACACTCATGATCATGGCCATAGCCATGGACACTCTCACGGTCAGGATTATTGTCACAGTAAGTACTTAGTTAATGTCATACACCATCTTAACTCAATTTAAATTTGCTATTAATGATTGAGGGGGAAAAAAAAGAGAGGGTGCTGGCAGCTTGTTGCGAGCATACATGGAAGTAGTTTCACTAAATGTGTGGTATGCTATGCCACCGCCATGTTTTGTGGCTCATTTTGGTAAACGCTGTTTCACTTCCATTAAGTTCAGTGGTAGTTTTTTAAAGGTTTTGCTTTACCTACATTTTTTGAATGTTCACCATAACGTTATGTGTTGGCAAAAGATAAAACAGATGTATGCTATAGCAATATAATGAAATCAGTTATCAAGTGCTCTGTTTCAATTTTTCATTAAAATCAATAAACAAAGTTAAGCTGGTTTTGCTAGTGTTCTCCATTTGAATAATTTTACACCTCAAGATATTAGGTAAGATGAAGAAGCAACTTTACTTTGGCTACTTAGGGGTTGATACGTCGTACTTGGTTTGTGATCTCAAATACAAGATTTTCCCCATCTTGTGTAGTTGTAATCTGTTTTAAAGCTGGTTATGGAAAAGGTACTTGGTATCTTAGCTATGCATAAATCTTTTCTATAAAGGCAACCAATCTGTGAAGAGGTGTCCATGCAAAATATCATCGGTAGCCTTCACTATGGGAGAAGAGACAGTGTGGTTACTACCTATTTGAAACAACGCAAATGGAAGCCTTATTGTAATGCAGCGTTGTCAATCTTCCCTGCCTAAGCTATGAACTAGAATCTGATGTGACTGAAAATGTGCACATTTGGAGCGGGGAATAGTGTGGTAACTTGCAGACAGGAGGTGACAAAGAGTATAAAAATATTTACTTGTCCCTTCCTTGCTATTTTTAGTAGAAAATTGGTGCTTGCTCTCCAAGTGCTGTCCTGGAGTTTGGTTGGAAAGCAGGAGCTCCCCCTCCTGCCTCTTCCTTGCTCTTCCCATGCCCCCCACCCCACTGGAATAGCAAATGTAGCTATCTGTTTTGTGCAATTTGGTATTCCAGTTAGCTTTTGCATAAATTATTATATTTCTTTACTAGAAGTCATTTGCTATCCTTTAACAAGTATTTCTTAAAGTATCTTGCTGACGTGTTCCACAGAGGCATTAATCTGCTTGGATGAGAGGGGTTTTTGACTTAGTTCTACCTTCTCCAAGTCTTGTCCTTGTTGTTTTACATTAGGTATAAATGCTTGCTTAAGTGAAATATTTCTGGTTAGCGAATTTATTTGACCTTACTCTTCTTGCTTGCGTGTATGGCTTGTTTTCTTGAGGGGGCCTTATTTTGCTAGATACTAGAAAGGTCTTATTTCTCAGTTTGTTTTCATTAAAAAACAAATGTTAATCTTTATATATCTATAAAATCTATTGTGTAAAGTGGTATTTTCTTTTAAAAAATGTGTTTTAAGACTTTTAAATTAATTGCTGTGTTAAAGAACAATAGCTAGAGTAAAAGCTAGTCATTGTGAGCAGCTTATCTGTTCAAGAAATTTCAGAAAGGAAGACCATAACAGAATATACCACTAGAGAGAGCCTTTGTACAGGTTAATATGCCAATAATTGTCTTCACAGATGACCATTCTCTTGAAGGGATGGCTGGATCCAGCAAACAGATTTTACAAGGTATGATGAGAATAAGTATAGTGGTTTAATAGTTTTATTGTGGTCTGCCTGCCTGTGACTGTTTGTCACACATCTGTTTTAGAGGGTGCCTCTGGGTAAATCCTACATTTTTTTTAGAGGAGTTATTTTATGAAGTCTCCTTCCACCTGTAAACAGAGCAGTGCTATACCTTGTGCATGGCTAGGTGTTGAGACATTCACTGAAGTCTAAATGTAGTGTAGTGTCAACACAGATTAAAAGGGAGATCGCAAAAGCTGGGATTCAGCTTCTGTTACTGATGCTGAAAAATCAAATACTAAAAATCTAGGAAAGAGTGGTTAAAACACG